TAACAGCTGATGCTGCGGCACTAGCTGCAGCCTTACCATTGCCTTGAGATGTGGAAGGGCAATCTTTTACTATGTGGCCCACCTTGCCATACCTGTAACATGCACCAGAAATTTTATAGCAAACCCCTTTATGCCTTTTGCCGCATTCAGAGCAGGGTGGTATGGAACCACTTCCCTGACTAGAACTGTTTGTTGACCCTGTATTTTGCTTTTTATTCAATGAGTTATTTTGGCCCTTTTTGAAATTAAAGCCTCGCCTCTTACCCGCCATTCGATTACCAGTGTCTTAGTCTGTTGTAATGTAGTGATATTTGCCTCGGCCATAATTGCTCGGTCAAAGACATCCACCTATTTAAGTAACTTCAGAACATTGATTCGATCAAGTATTTCTACATTAAGCCCACCTTTAAACTTTCTAGCCATTTTGTAATCAGTATCAACCATGTGTGGCGCATATCGGGCGAGTTCAGTGAACTTAGATTCATATTCTACTACGGGCATGGTACCTTGTTTCAACTGTTCAAATTCAGTCACCTTGCGGTCTCGAACACACTGGGAAAAGTTTTTTTCAAAGAAAGATTCTTTAAACTGAGCCCAAGTCATAGCATTGTTGGTGTCACGAACGAGCATCCACCACCGTCTGGCCTCTTCTTGTAAGGTGAATTTAGCCAGTAATACCTTGTGTTCAGAACACGGAAACACTTCAAACAACTTTTTAGTTTCTAAAACCCATGCTTCGGCCTTTAGCGGTTCAAGGCCTCCTTGGAATGATGGTGGCTTCATCTTGTTGAACTTATGTGTTAAAGCAATAACATCATCATGAACATTCGGTTCTGGTTGTACTGTAGGAGGTGGGGGCTGTTGGTTCTGTTGATGTCTTAGGGCCTCAGTCAACAGTTCAACCGTTCTTTCTAACCTTGCCATTCTTGCCTCAGATGATTCAGATTCATCGGCATTTCTTGCATTCTCCATTTCACTATATGTAATACAGTAATAATAAGCATAGGAAGTTGCATACGTAAACACATTAGTACATTAGCACATATATTTATATCATGGCCACACACACTTTCTCATGCTCATGCAATGCCCTAATTACTTTTCTAGGACATCCTATAGCTCATTTGGACACGTGTGTGCGGTATAACTCGTGCTCTGATACCACTCTGTCACGACTCAAACCCGCCCCTATGGATTTAGCGTCGCAACCGGCCAGTAATCCGTGATTACCGAAGGTCTGCTTAACAGTAATGACAGTAATACAGAGTAAGGGGCTGGCAGAAGCCAAACAGTAAATAAAAAGATGTCCAATGAGCTGTGAAAAGCTGAAAACAAAAAGACTTTTATGAATAAGCCACATTCATGACCAAACCATATGTACATACATCATATACACAAACATCTAGGTTAGGGACCAAGTTCCTTCACCATAACTGTACAGTCGAAACTTATTCAATCGGTACAAAACAAAGATAGAAGGGTGATTCTGAACACCCTAAAACAGCCTTAGCTTGAACGAACTCGGAACCTCGAAGTGAGACACGATGGTTGGCTTGACAAAGCGAGAGCTTAACTTGACGCTCCTAGCTTCGGTCCAGTGCTTGGATACCTACATATAAATATAAACAGTGAGCTAAAGCCCTATGAATAACAAATGCGTAAAGGGGTTAAGAATGAATGTCCTTTCATTAATTAAAGCAGTCATTTGCATCAGTAAATTAGTTATTCAATCAGTGGCTCATATTTCATGCCATATCAGCCATTTAGAAATCATAACAATCATACGTGGTACGTCTAATAGCAAAACAGTACAGTAGGTCTTAATAGACCGAACAGTCAGTTGATGGCCATCAGAACAGTAAACAGTAGTAATTCCAAACATTGAAACTGACAGAGATCTCTGTAACAGTAGCAATAATAGTACAGTAACAGTAAGTTGCTATGGATGTCACGAGTACAGTTTACAAATAGGACAAACATTCATTCAGTAAATAATGTCATTTCAGAAAGTGGAACAGTCAATCGTTCAAAAATAATTATAATTGAACGTATCTTTACAACATTGTTACTCACAGAGTAGTGGGCTAAAGACAGGCTAATCAGCGTCCTCGGGTGCCAACCCTACACAGTTGCAGAACGAACACACACTAAGTTACACACTTGGGATTAATAACTTAGCCCCTTAACTTGACTCGGTGTGGTTTTATAATATTATCCTCATTAAGATGCCTTAAACTTGGCCTAAGAATGCTTAGGATGGAATGAGGATGCAAAAATGTACTTTAAAACACTTTTTAAATTTTTTACTGAAATAGGGGTCTTGCTCGAGCGTGGCTTTCTACACTCGAGCGAGCTTACCAAAACAGAGGGGTCACTCGAGCGTGGACTCCCTCGCTCGAGCGGACTGTAAAAATGCAAAAAGTACTGGTTATTAAAATTCTCCGCTCGATGCTTGCTCGAGCGTGAGACACAACTCTTCGCTCGAGCGTAGGTCTCGTCACTCGAGCGTGCGTCTACGTGCACAAAAACCTGAGAGCTTGCAATCTACGCTCGAGCCAGCATTCCGTCGCTCGAGCGGGGCTCTGAGCAAAAAGATGGTCGCTCGAGCGTGGAAGCCAAAATCTGGAATTTCCAGATTTGCTCCCAAAGCTCAAACCAAGAATTAAACTTATCAAAACTCAACCTTTTGGGCCAATTTTCTGGAAAACACTTGAAAACTCATACTACAACATGTTTTGAAGATCAATTTTGTAAAATCAAGCCCAAATGTGAGACAGTTGAACACAATTTGAATGAAACTTGAAGAATAATGCAAAACATCACATGCATGAGTTCCTATGAACTCTAATGCTCTAAAACATAATCAAATGCAAGCTTGAACTTTAAAGCATGGTGAATTCTTGAACCACAACTAAAATATGAACATGCATGTGAGGATTTCATGAAAACAACCTCAAAATTCTATGATATGGACATGCACGTATGAATTAATTAATGTTCGTTGAATTCTAACCCATGAATTCACCTATTTCATGTGTAGACAAGTTCTAGATGGCTCAATGACAAGATCAAGGGGTTGAGCTCTTACCTAAACTCCTTAATTAAGCTTTACTTAAGCAAAGTTCTTGAGCAATTCAACAATTCTTCAAAATTTCCTCAATTTCTTCTAATTCTCCAAGCCAATTTTCTTGTTGAACTCAATTTCTCCCAACTCACTCTCTCTCACGGTTTTGCCAAGAATATGGATGAAGAAATGATGTAAAACTAAGCTCCAAACAATAACTCTAATTGTGCCTCACCCAATGGCAAAGATGTAATAAATTCAAACTAATGCAATTTAACATTATTTAATCTAATTAATCATTCCAAATCAAATTTTAATTAAACCTACCATAAAATCACATAAATCCTAATTAGCATAAAATACTAATCAATTCCTGAATCGGTCGCCGATAAGGCTTTCAATTCGCGATTCGAAATAAAAACACGAACAGATCATTCAGTAATCAAACAGATAGAAATGCATTTAAAGCAACACACTCATGCAAACAGATTAGGATTTCATTCTAATTAATTACTTATCATGCTCAATCACAGTTCAACACTAATCAGAGGTGAGGGTTGTCACACTAATGCTTGGCACCGATAGCAGGTCCCAAGGCATTACTAGCCTAGGGCTGATAGCAGGCCTCATAGTTTATTAACTTGGTGCTGATAGCAGGCCCCAAAACTTACTGGTTGGAGCTGATAGCAGGCTCGGAAATACCACTTTACTGCGGTAACCCCGCGAAGATGGGAGCAAGGTAGCCTGAGCATAAAGGACTCCTTTTCTATTACCCAGGTCATGGACCTGCCTTAGTCACACATGCAGGACTACGGAAGCCCCCTTGGGCTTGGTACCAAGGCACAGCATGGTTGATAACAGGCTTAGCTGTGGCTTTCGCCCTAGGAAGCTGGGGAGTTTGCAGTTAGGTGGCTAAGGGTGGAGGCTTTGCCGAGGTGAACACGAACATAGTCGATAGCAAATTAATGGAGTCCTGATAATGCATGTACTGACCAAGTAGAACTGAGAAGGCAAGTGCAGCGGCGAGGTTCACCGCTGTAAGTGCACTTGCTGAGGTTCAAGCTGAGAAGGCAAGTGCAGAGGCAAGCACTCTCGTCGCAACTGCGCTTGCTGAGGCTCAAAAGGGAGTTGCTGCGCCAAACACTCCCGTCGCAACTACACTTGTTGAGATTCAAAAAGGTAGTTGCGGAGGCAAACAGATAGTGCATAGTACATGCAGAAGGACACGTGGCACCGTCAGCTTGGTGGCTCAAGGCAGAATATTCCATGTGATCCTTTGGGATGTGTCTTCTCTCTATTTGGCCACTTGGTGTCTTCTTGGCACCAAAGAAAAGCCTATAAATAGGACCCATTTCCCAAGATTCAACAAGAGGAATTTTGGGGATTTGGAGGAGATGCTGTCCAATTTGGTACTGCCATATATTTTTTCTTGAGCCACTTGCGACACCCTCACCCAACTACACACTCTTCAACTCCCAAATAATTACTACTATTCATTCTCAAGCCACTTCCTCCATCATGCTGTGTTTGGTTGGGGGATTTGATGAGGGATTTGGAAAGAAAAATGGAAAAGGTAGGTGAAATGAGAATAAAATATGCTTAAATTTCACATAGTTTCACACACCTTTTCCCTTTCTCTTTCCAAATCCTTTCCCAAATCCTCCAAACAAACACAACATCAATAAATTATTAACATAATTTTACCTCTCTAATCACCCCTATAATCTTGAACCCCCTTTAGAAACTCCGCATCAAATACAACATTATTTTTTAAACAAGTGCCTAGGAATGAATTTTTAATTTACCTTATTATTTTGATGTTTATCTTGTTTTGTTATTTATAAGATAAGATAGTCGATGTTTATCTTGTTGAGGACCCACAATGACCCTAGTGCCTGTGAATGCTATATAACAATTACCCAATGCTTTCATGTAGCTTTACATCCCGTCCCCGAATTACTTAAATTGAGGCCCTATACTATACATTTGTCTTGTTTCTTTTTAACCTTCAAAAAGCAGAGTCGCTGAGTGTATCTGTGGAATCTCTCATCATGTGATTCCTCTGGTTCGTCCATTTCTGTTCCTCCATTGAAGTTGAAGTGGTGCCTTCTTTCATGCACCCTGTTTAGGGTTTTGTTATCTCCATTGCAATCTCTCTCAATCTCTTTGTTAGGAGGCACTCAATCACAGGCGATTTGACTTGAAACTTGGAGCAACTTACTTCGTTACAAGGTCTCTGTGGTAAGTATTCAAGTTCCATCTTTTTCTATCCTGTTGCTCTGCGATTGGATCGATCAAACAATACAACTTGAAATCTCTAAGAAAAACAAGGCAAATTGTTATCTGGGTACAGGTCAAAATTTTGAACCTATCACTCTTGTTTTAGATTCTGGTTTCTTTGTTTCGTCACGATGGACGATGGGGAGATTGATTATTCAAACCAAGAGATGTTTTCAAGTCTAAACATTGATGAACTCCGAAGCTGTTTCTTTACAGTTAGTGATTTGGATGAATTTATGAAGGAAACATGCACTCATGCCCACACTTGCAACCCACCAGGCCCTGATTCCTCTCATACACACACTTGTCATCACGTGCACACCAAAACTCTGCCTGCCGCAACTCAAGATAAGGTGGTTTCCACTGATGATATTGTAGAGTCCTCGGAAAAGAAATCAAAGAAATGTCCAATGGGTAATCGTGAAGCAGTTCGCAAGTACCGCGAGAAGAAGAAGGCTCGCACTGCATCGTTAGAGGATGAAGTTGTGGGATTGAGGGCTAAGAATCAGCAATTGGTGAAGACATTGCAAGATCGAGATGCTGAGATTGGAAGGCTCAAGTGTTTGCTTATGGACTTCCGAGGGAGGATTGATGGGGAGATTGGATCTTTTCCTTATCAAAACCTGGCTACTCCAAACATGCCCGGTGCTTATGTGATAAACCCATGTAATCAGGTCTACTGCCTTCAACCAGGGGCGGAAAGAAAAAGAGGGGAAGATTCATCAATGAATGGTCAAGGCTTCGGCTGTTGTGAATTTGCAGATCTGCAGTGTTTGGGGAACCAGAATGCTGGACCGAAGAAGTTCCCTGGTTGTGGACTAGGGAATGTAGCTTCTACCGTCAAGTCTTCCGGTGCGAACTAGGAAACACGGATGCAGATACATATACAGAATACGGGTGCCTCTATACAGATACGTTTGTAAAAAATATGTTTCTACTTATATTAGTAAAATAATAATCTTTTAAGTATTGTGAATTAATTTAAGCCATTAGTTGGTTTTTTGGTTAGTTTATATCACAATTGCAAAACAATCCACGTGAATTTGGCCATGTGCTTTTCCTTTCTATACTAGGTAAAACGATTGTAGGTAAATTTATTTATTGATATTTAATTTTATTATTGTTATATTTACTTGTTAATGTTTATAGATGTCTAATTTTACTATTTATTGTATAAATATGATGTAGGACAAGATTTTCAAGACAAGATTTTCAGAATTTTTATATTTTTTAGTTTTAATATTTTTGATATATTATTAGGATTCTTGTAATTTAGTATAAACATTTTAGAATTATTAGGTTTCTTAATTTTATTATTTTGGAATTAGATTTTGACTAGGATTTTAAATAGTTTAGAATTCTAGTTTCCTATTCTCTTAGGTTTTCTAATTTGTATTGATTTAAGTTTCCTAATTTATTTTAGAATTACTTTTCCTACAAGTATTAGGTTTGGTTTATTATAAATAGCTATGTAAGCCTCATGGCAAAGACAATTTTTTCATTCAATATTAAGATATTTTCTTTTCCTTGTAGATTCAAGGTTTTATTTTTCTCATGGATTCGAGAGCCCCTTTCGTCTACTAGAACGATATCTAGTCCTCATGTATTCCGCTGCGTCAAGTGGTATCAAAGCAAGGTTTCTCCTGGCTCGATGTCATTCATCGAAAGAGGAAGCACAAGCTCTATTGACGATGATCATAGAGAAAGATTTAATAGGATTCGAGTCAAGGGATTTGCCCAAGGCCAACCTGTTAGTCACAATGTTAATAGGAACCGTGCTATGGGATTTGCCCAAGGCCAACCTATTAACCACAACGTCTTGAGATGATCTTCTTATTTTCAATATGATAATGAGGATAAATCTAAAGATGAGTTATTCGAGGATTATGGTGAATATCAGTCGGTAAGGCAACAACGAAGATTCAGTGATGTGTTCAATAGCAATAATTGTATCAATCATGACTTTTCAAATTATCAAGTACCACTAGAAATTCCCTATTTTAATGCTTCTTGTCATGCTGAGGATTTTATTTATTGGTTTCGTAAAGTTGACAAATTCCTTGAGTGTATGGAAATCTCTGAAGAAAAGCAAGCCAAATATGTCGCACGCAAGTTACAAGGTTATGGTTCTACATGGTGGAAACAATTACAATATGGTCGAAGGCAACAATACAAACAATCCATTAGGACGTGGCATAAGATGAAGAAGTTGATGAGTTCTAGATTCCTTCAATCAAATCATGGGCAAATATTGTATCAACAATATCAAAGAAAGCTTGAATCGAAACAATCGTTCCAAGGTAATTCTGATTCATAATATTCTTCACAACTCAATAATTATTATGCAATTGTGGATAAAGATTATTCGAGAAACATGACTACAGCTTTCCCAAGTTTGGGTCAATCAAGTCTTATAGGTCAACAAATTTGTTACGCTCCACCACACATTGAAGAAGAAAAGGTTTTGAATATCTCAATGTTTCAAAATTTTGAAAGCCCAAACAGACATTCAATTGAAGTAGAAAATCAAGTTGATTTCAATAATGGCGAGAACGTTGAAATTGATGAACGAGAGGTCACTGAAATTATTTTGATCAAGATGTTTGAAGAAGACAATGAAAAGGTGAAGCAAGAGAAAAACGTTGAAGGTAGCCAAGAGCTTCTAATGACGGAACTATCATCTCTTGATTATTATGATGGTTATGAGATCGCAAAAGAAGGAGATCTAGTTGAACTCAATGGAAAAGAAGAAATAAAAGATGAGGTAATAAAGTTGACATGTGCACCAAAGAAGTTGATTGAGGATGTTGCAATTGATATTCCAAGATTGATAATTGAATATCCAACTGATTCTAAGACAGAGCAGAGTCCAAAGAGTATCCAACATCAACATAAAATACACTTCGTTGATTTTCTTGGTGTGGAGCAATTTAATTTGATTTTCAATGCTTGTCTAATTGATCTTGTCAACCAGTTGAAGCATATAGAGAACAACTTTCAGAAAATAAACTTCTCTGCATATAATGTTCAGAAGAGGGACAAGCAACTGAAGTATTCCAAGTATCTTTTTATTTGGGATGGACGATGGCAGATCTCTAATATGAACTCGAGGACGAGTTCTTTCAAAGAAGAGGAGTCTGATGTAGGACAAGATTTTAAGAATTTTTATATTTTTTAGTTTTAATATTTTTGATATATTATTAGGATTCTTGTAATTTAGTATAAATATTTTAGAATTATTAGGTTTCTTAATTTTATTACTTTGGAATTAGATTTTGACTAGGATTTTAAATAGTTTAGAATTCTAGTTTCCTATTCTCTTAGGTTTCCTAATTTGTATTGATTTAAGTTTCCTAGTTTATTTTAGAATTACTTTTCCTACAAGTATTAGGTTTGGTTTATTATAAATAGCTATGCAAGCCTCATGGCAAAGACAATTTTTTCATTCAATATTAAGATATTTTCTTTTCCTTTTGGATTCAAGGTTCTATTTTTCTCGTGGATTCGAGAGTCCCTTTCGTCTACTAGAACGATATTTAGTCCCCGTGTATTCCGCGGCGTCAAAATATAAATAGACTAAATTTAATAAAGCCCTCCTTAATAAATAGTAATTCTCTATCAATTATCATAATTCGAATTAAAGTCCTCGTGTGTCCAGAGGCTTCTCTAGCTTGTTTATGGAGTGTTTTAAGAAGTTGGTAAAAAATTAATTTTTTTTTTACTTTTTTAATTAATTTTGTGTTTCTATGAATAAAAAATATGAAAAGTGATGTGATTCAAAATAATAAAAAGTTAAAAAGTTAACTTTTTATTTTGTTTCCAAAAACCCCTATGTCAGCCGGCTATAGGGGTGGGCGCGGGTCGGTTGCGGCCACGGAACCTCCAATCCGCCATCCGTCCACCAAATTGGCGGATTGGAGAAAATCAATCCGCATCCGTCCGCCAATCCGGCGGATGTGGATCGAGCGGATTGGCGGTTTGGCGGATGAATGCGAATCGGTTTGGCGGTTTAAAATTTTATAAATTTTCAACATAATTCAACTTGTGCACTTCCTCAAAAAAAGAAGAAGAAGAAAGTATTACAGTCAATGACTTAAAAAAATATTACAATCACTGCATGTCTCATCCAAAGCAAGACAGTTTGAAACTTTATAATATCACAATCACTGTATGCTTCATCCACATATTACAATCACAGCATGCCTCATCCACATAAAGTATTACTAGGGGTGCTCGCGGTTTGGCAGTTCGGTTGGGGCCAAAGGAATCTCAAATCCGCCATCCGTCCGCCAGATTGGCGGATTGGAGAAAATTAATCCGCAACCGTCCGCTCATCATCACGCATCTGTCCAAAATGCGGCGGATCGGTTCAGTTCGGTCGATTTTGGCGGATCGGTATATCCACTGCTCACCCCTAGCCGGCTATTACAATTCGACCTGAATGAGACTTGGATTTGAAGCCTGGCTCAATCCATTCGCCTCACTTGCAAGTTGCCAAAAAAAAAAAAAATTAAATAGATGATTTTTTTTTTTTTTTGAAAAATTTTGAGCCTCAATCCACGCCCCGTGGAGCTATGCTCTATTAATATATTTGGGCCAAATTTGTTAGGCAAAGCTTGGCTAAGGTTTTTGAGTGCATCTATTTGCACCCAAATAATAATTTGGTATGTCCAATTAAAATTTTAAAATTTTAAAATTTTAATTTTTATTATATTTTAATGTAAATTTATTAATAAGGATAATATATATTAAATTTTAATATATATATATATATATTTTTTCTCATGTTACACCTAAATCACTTATAATTCTTCATATTCAACTATTTACATCTTCTTTCTCAAGTTTTAATTATTATCAAAATTCACAATTATCATATATTTCTTATTATGTTGTTATTTGTAAATAGAAGAAAGTTTGAATAAAATCAAACAATATTGTTGGCTTTTTGGCTTTTAAAGGTTATTATGGTAATTGCGAGCATGCCAGCAAGGATCAATTAGTCCTTGCAGAAATTTAATTGCCAACCATTTATCAGACGATTGTGTTTTAGTTCTCTCTCAGCCTCAATGAAGAGGACTTTTACTGGTAGCTTGATTTAGGAGAATTTAAACAGAATACCAATCAAACAAAGAAAATCTGAAGCATTTCATTAGAATGAAAAACTTACAATGATTCGAACTCAGTTTCGTAGAGGTTTACAACGACAATTTACTTGAAACTACTCCTCTGAATGAAGTGCAGTGCAGGATTTAAAGTACTGTAATGTAAAGAACAGGCTATGTAAAACTAAGTAAAGTAGAATAAGACTGGTTTTTTGGATCTGAGTCTGGGGCTTTTTTCTAGGGCCTTCTCTGCTATTTATACTGCTTAAGGATGACCATCGAACTGTATTTCCAACCGTCGAACTGCTCCCCCATGATCGCTGATCATGTAGCCTCAAGATAAGCTCCATTACGCCATCACTTGCAGTTAGGCTTCCCTCCTAAATTTGAATTTAAATGTGAGTAACCGTTGATGTCACATCACCTTGTATCTCTTTGTTGATCCATTGCTACTCAGATCTCATAACAACCAATACTAACTGCCACGTGTACGATCAAGATCGAAGATTTGAATGGTCTCCCCGTACTACCCTTACTTTGCCACGCGTCGAATTGTAATTAGCTTGTACAAAATATGTAGCCAACATTACCCCCCGCACTAATATACCCAATACTTGGTGATATTAGTGAATCAAGGTCTTTTATCCACGTCTTTAGAACGTGCATGGGTTTTGCATTTTTCCAGAAATGCAACTGTTATTCACTACTTGTATTAAACTCTCGTTTAATCCTTTGAACACTTCTACTACCTTAGCATTCGAACAGACCGATATATTTCATGGTCGAATTAATTTTTTCCTCCAATGATCGAGCACACGAAAAGTCATATGATGATGCTGTTACTCCTCGAAAGAATGTCCATGCATTAATTAGCCACCTTTACCCACATTTCTATATTCAGGTCATGGATGCCTTTGCAAATTA